GGAATCTTTTTCTTGGTAAAACCCTGCTCATTGAATATATAAGCAGGAAATGCTCTTTTCTTTTCCTTTTTTTTTATTTAAAATTTTCTCATTAATTTTATTTTTTATTCGTATTAAGCTGTATCTAGTATTCTAATATATTTTTAGAACACCCACTATCACAAATTAATTAATTAATTTCTAGCACCAACATTAATAGTGAATGATACAAAAAAATTTAAATATTAGATGCACTAAAAATTAATTAATTAAAGATATTAGATGCTATTGAAAAATATTTTAAGACGCTGTATGCACTAAATTAATTAATTTATGATACTGAATACTATTAAAAAATATTTTATAATACTAAATGTACTAAAAATTAATCAACTTAAGATACTGAGTGTTTTTACAAAATATTTCAAGCTACCAAATGCAACTCAACCCAAGTAAATTCTCATGCGGAAGCTTGTTGTAACTCTCAATGAACCGCTATTAATGTTGGTGCCAGAAATTAAAATTTTTAAGGCCAAAATTTTGAAAAGATGCCCGTCATAGGCTGTGGTTGGAAAACCGCTATTAATATTGACATCAATGATTGAAATTTTTGCGATAGTAGTGTTAGGTGAAATAATGTGAGAAAGTGTTGGGTGAAATAATTTGTCATTGGTTCAAATCTCTTTGATGTTGATTTTTTCAATATTTAATAATATCCTAACATAATTTACTCTTTCAAAGACATTTTACTTAAACTTAAGATCTCATACTTAAATAACTATATACTATTCTGGTCCTTATTATTTGTTACGAAAGAGAGCATTAAATAAATAACATCTTGTACTTTTACCCTTATGAAAGAGAACATTAAATATAATATGTTTTTGTCTCACCCACACTCTCTTTCTTCACATTTATTATAATTAATAGGGACAGAATTCAAAATAAAGCATTAAAAAGGATACAAATGACAAATAAAAAAGATCAAAATCCTTTCCTATAAGTGAGAAATAAAAAGTAGCAGAGTGTATAACCTATTTCATTGTATCCAATGCCCATGATTTCTCTTTAACTTAACCAAAAGACACTTAATTTAATATGAAGTTGCCCGTAATTGCAGGTTATTAGTTTTTACAGAGACATAATCATTGTTGTTCGTCCCACTTATACCAGCGAGAATATTCACAAACTGATCATTGGCCTCCTCCATTAATAATCCTCATTATTTTTTGTTTATAATGTGACATGATGTTAGGTAAAAATGATTTCTTGTTGAAGATTCATATTTCTTTATGATGATTTAATTGCATGCGTTTTATCATGCGAGATATAGCGTTAGGTGAAATAATTTCTCATTGAAGATTCATATCTCTCTTTGATGTTGAATTTTTCAATATTTAATTACACGCATTTTATACTATTTAGTTGATTTACACACATAGATATGACCAATGATAGATGAGACAATGACAAGAAAAAGAACCTAAAAATTATGAAATCCCAGCACCTAATACTTCAAAATTCTAAGGAAGGAAGTAGTGTCTGACCTGGTATTTTGCAAGTGTAGTTAAGTGATTAAAATGTCCTTACTTAAAAAAATTATTATCAAGTTGTGAACTGATAATAATAAGTGCTGAATAGCAAATGATAAAAAATGCACTAGTAACAACAAGTTATTTATTAACAATTTATGAAGTCGTAATAACAAGTGTTGTATATCAAATAATAAGAAATATAATGGTAATGACAAGTTTGAAACAACGGTGTTTAGTTATTTAACTACATTTACAAAAATAATACATCAGGTACCACTTACTATCCCCGAGGTTTTGAAGTATTAGATGTCTAAATTGAGATTTCATAATTTTTAAGTTTTTTTAAATCTTTTTCCCATGAGATTTTGAACTTAACCTCTTCGGAAATGCTTCTGGATTTCCTTAATTTCCGATCACATTCTGTATAAATCCATCAACAAGCTCGCTACTACCTCACTTCATCATCTATATATCTAATTTTCATCTCTGAATAACCATCCGGCACTGTGTACTGTTGCCATTTTGTATCCTAAATTGTCTCGCGCACACAGTGTATCATTTATGTGTGTGATTTTGGAATATTTTATGAGACCTATAATAGTTACTAGTTGCATAATATAAATTTGAACATTTGTAATATTTCTTGTACTAATTAAAAACCAGTGGTGGTATGGGTTAAATTTGAACCGCATGGCGCTGTTTCGCCTCATGTCTGAATTATTTGGGAAAAAGTGATTTTTATTTCAATTTATTTATATAAACCGAAGTTAGAGTAAAAGTTATTAGTGTAATGTTATTTTGTTTGGATAGGATTTTATAAACATATTAATTTGACAGAAATTCATTTGGAATAATATATTAAAAGGTTGTTTTTAGAAGGTGGTAAAAAAAAAAAGATTGTTTTAAGAAGGTCCAAATTTGAAAAAAAAAAAGGGAAAAAATTGTGCTAGAAAAAGTTGTTAAAGCCACTTCTGATTCAAAATTCATTTGCTTCAAAAGTTATCCCAAATACAAAAATATTAGTTAAATAATTTAATTTAGTCTAAACGTGAGATATATAGTAAGTTTAGGGGGGCAAAAATATAGATAGTGAAAATATCAGGTAAAAGTATAATTATGAAAAAATGTCTAGAAATTAGAGAAAAATTCCAAACGGTTCAAAAGAGATTCCTAAGGCATATTTGAGGGCGAAGGATATTATCTAAAATTAAAGTGCCCCAAAAATAAAATCTATTTTTGGATGAAATTTAAGAAAATAAAGGAGAAAAATGATTATTGAGATTATTTAAGGGCCCATAAAATTTGTTATGTAAATTAAGAAAATTTTCGAAGAGATTAAACTTCAAAAAATTACTTAAATATTTTAAAGCCAAGTTTTAGGAATTAAAGGCTCATTTTCTCGTAAATTCAATAAAAAAGTTAGAGGTAATAATTTGTCCTGAAAAGCTCAAGGAAGTTATTTCATAAAGTAAAGAAGCTAATTAAGATATAGGTCAAGAAAAAAATTGTGGGCTATTAAAGATTAATTTCTAAAATTCATTTTATTTAATTTTTTTTGCCGGCAGACCAAGCCAATTTATGGAGCCTATGCCCTACGGCGTACTCCACCCGGCCAAGAAGGAAGAGCATCAGAGTCACCAGGCCCTGGGCTTATGTGGTAAGCTTGCTTTTGTGAGGGACCCAAAACAATAAAATGACCTTTTTTTTTTTGAGTAAAAAGGGAATCCATTAAGGGAAAATAACAAAAAAAAAAAAGCTAAAAATTCCTAAATTTCAAATCAAGTTTGATAACAACACTTTATTTGGTGTTGACAACGTTGAATTTGCAAATGACAACAAAATTTTGTTGACATTTCTTATTTGGCATTTAGTAATTTTCAGTTTCTTTTTTGGTTATTTTCCCATTCATTAATCAAAGGTCAGCTTATGTACAGTGTGTGAGCAAAAGAAAATGGGAGAATTACAATCAGATTGTAAGGAAGGAATTTAATTAGCCTAAAGTTGATTGATAGGTGAAGAACTAGCAATGATAAGCTTCAGAGTAGGGAATGATAACAAGTTCATGCTGGTCACTTGTTATTAAGACTTTTTGATAATTAAATTTTTTTCTTGAGACTTCTTGCTAATTTACCCAAAGAAAATAAGACAGCAAAGAGTTCATCCTATGCCTATTTGACTAGGAGGATTCATAATTACAAGATTAGTACGGTTCACTAAAATAACATATTATTCACCTCACTTAAAAAAAATCAAAACAGCAGCTCATAACAGATGCTGTCAAATCTATAATTTTTCAATGATAAATTTATCTTTTAAGGAATGGTAGTTTATAAGAATATTGTTATTAAATTCTGTGTTTATTAATATAAGAAATTATTTAAAAAATATAAAAAAATAGATTAAATCTAAACCATCCAAAATCAACATCCGCTTAGATTAAAATGATAACTCTGTTCATCGTTGAGACGATCAGGGAATGTGCTCCCAGCCCCACACCCTTCATTCGCAGCTGTATCATAAATGGGGGGAGAGGGGGGCTGGTGGCTAGCATCCCACCTACAAGCATCTGAATCTGTAAGCTAAGGGTCACTATCTGATTTTAGAGAGAGAAGTGAAAGAACACGTAGCAAACGTTGAAGAAACATCGTAGAATGCCTTTATTTGATGCTTTGCCAATTTTGGAGGACGATTTTGGAATCTGTCATTGCTGTCCACCAGATTACCCTCATGAAAATCTCACAGAATCCAAGTCACTTGCCTTCATATCCGTGTTGCTCACGGCGACTGCTTATTTCTCTAGCTCCACCGTTCATTTTGTGATCACTTTGCTTTAATTTAAGGTGCAAACTTGTAATGCAACTATGTAACATAAAAGATGCTTGTAAAAAGAACGACATATATATAAAGCATCACAGCAAGCTCTCGTTCGTTCTGTCACAATCGAGCTTGTGCTAGTTTACTGGATATCCCTCCCGCCGGCGCCGGTACCGGCCTCGGAGACACCGCGCACATGAATTCAGTGTCACTTGCTAGAGCTTCAAGCATCTCAAAGGAAGCATACACCTCAATGTCTAAACTATCTTCTTCTGCTCCGGCATCAACCACTATCTTCCAATTCTTTGGACTAGGGAGGCAGCTATGAACTGCCACAGGGCTTCCCCAACCAAAATCAATGGCGTAAAAGTTGGTCCTCGGAGAACTGCTAGTTCCCATAAACTTCCCGATTGGGCCACTCTGTAATGGCATGGTTGGATTTCTAGCCCATGCTCCGAAGTCCTTCTTGATATTTTCCTCTGTGAATGAGGATATCACCCTGTTCATCTCCAAAGCAAACTTGCCAAGCCCTCTATCTCCCACCAAGTCTCTTACTTTCATCGTCAAAAAGGCATGTTGAACAGTGGGTCCAAATAGTTTCTAGGTATTGGTGGATCAGAAATTCTGGGTCCAGCAGCTACGAAGAATCTGTAAGTAACCTCTTCTTCTGGATCAAGATGCTGGTTTTTGATCATAGATCTCCAAACGTGACTGGTAAGAGCTTGCAAGGAGGAGATTTTGTGCTGATGACACCATCTCTACCTCTAAATTAGCTTTTTTTGTTAATTCAACAATTTTTTCGCTTGTGAAGTGGAAGATCCTTTGAGAGAATGGAAAAGCCTGATGCGAACCAATGGATCCCTTAAGTTTACCATCACTCTCCATGATTTCTCTTAATGGGATTCGTACAGGGCGAGCTATTTTACCTTGGGGAAACCATCGCTTGAATGAAGCCAGCTTCGAATTGGACTCTATGTGGTTTAAACCATGTCGGGAGATGTTAGCCCATGTGTTCAAGAAATCCCAGAAGGGCTTTACATCAGCAAGACAATGGTTAATCGAACAAGCCATGAAGATGCCGTCGACGAGCTCAGTAACTTGGACGGCCAATAACGGGATCCGACTTCCTTCGATGTTCTTGGATCTGTACAGCGGGAAGAAGGAGTGGACAAATGGCGGAACATAAGGCGATTCAATAATATCTGCAATTGTGATGTTCTCAGCAATAGCATGAACAAAACTTGCTCCGGCGTTGTTGCAAGTGACTGAGACAGAGAAGGTATCATCATCGCCGCCGTGATGGGCGATAAAAAACGGCCGGCAAGGGGCGGGTAGAAGTCGAGGGAGGAAGAAAGAGAGTCCTTAAGGTGCTGGATCGTTTTCCTTATGTAAGAAGAAGAAGATAAGGTTGGTTGGTGGAAAAGAACAGCTTTTTGGCCATATTCACTTAGCAGAAACTGAAGATCCCAGGGATTGAGCTCGATTTCTTTAAGCGAATCACCATTATTAATTTGACTTCGTGCTTGGATTGTAGTTGTGGAGACCACTCGGATGCCTGCCATGGTACAGTGTGGGTGGTGTTTTTATTCAATCGCCTTTTTTCTTCGCCAGCAATACTGCAGACTGAATATGAGTCCGCATTCGGTGCTCGTTAGCTTAAACGCTTCCGCTTTTATCAGTAATTAAGGAGGCGGAATTTTCTAGTAACAAAGGAGGAGAGAAAATTTTTTGTCCCTTAAATTTAACATCATCACTCAACAATTTCAAAATGATAAAAACTCAGCATTTAAATGATGATTTATTAATTTTTAATTTTAAATATATAAGTTAAAAAATATTTAAAATAAAACCTTATTTTTATCAACAGGTTGTATGCAGTTTAATAGTTATAAAATAAAAACTTCGTTTCATACTATTATCATTGAAAAAAAATTATCTAGTTAATCTGAAAATTTATATCAAAATTTTCCCTTTCTTCCTAGAACAAGATGAGGAGGAGCAATTCTAGAGCCATCAATCTGTGATTCTAACCTTATATTTGGTATGAGGAAATTAGAAGGGAGGGGATGTGAGGGAAAATTTTAATAAGCTCAATTTAAAACAATAAAGGCTAAAGTATACATTTGGTCCTTTAAATTTTTACAAGATTTCAATTTGGTCCCTTAACTTTATAAGGTATACTTTTAGTCCTTTAACCTTAAAATTTTTTTAAAACATGATGACATTAAGATGTTAAATGTTGATAAAATATTCTCAAATGCTTATAGATTCAGTTTAATTTTCAAAAAATCCATAATTGTTACAAAAAATCATCATTGAAGCTTAATGGTTTTAGGGTTAAAAGACCAAATATGTGCTTTTTAAAGTTAAGGGATCAAATTGAAACCTTGTATAAAGTTAAAGGACCAAATATATACTTTAGCCAAAAATAAAAAAGTGAAGTTATAAAATTTTGATAAATAAAAGATATAAGATAAAATAATTAAAAATAATTAAAAACTTTTAATCTCACTTTTTTAATTTTTTTTTAAATTGAGCTTGTTAAAATTTTTTCTCTCCTCTCTTCTCATCCATTTCCCTCACGGCAAACCGACCACAAATGGTTTTCTTCAAGCAGGGAGGAAGAAGATGGAAACGACACGTCGACACGTCGATACCAAGAACGACAAAAAGGAGAAATGAGAAAATGGATAGGTCGAGATGAATGGGCCCCTGGCCTCGGCTCCATTATGTATACAGTCGTCCTACGTATCCTAGAGAAAATATTGCAGCCAAGTCTGATCTACCCAAGCTTCAAGCATCAACAGTCTTGGCTTTCATCTTTATTGGATCATGACCAGGTCACTTGTTGAACTCATTTGAAAAATCGAAATCAGTCGACCTCGTGGACACATCCAGCCTTACTTGACAGTTTGGCGGGCAAGAAAATTGTTGCTTGATAGATAGATAAATGCACCTTTCATGTATTTAAGTCCTCTAATAAGTGAAGACAAAGGAGGACCGATTTTTTTTCTCTCGAAAAAAACTAAATTTATCAAAATGGACAATCAATGACAATAACATATATACTTGTTTCTCAGGGCTTAAGATGCGTCTAGTACCTTCAAAGTATTTTTTGATATAAGACTCCAATCTATTTTATTTTTCATATTTTTTTATTTTTTTCTAAAATAGTCTTTCTAATAATAATAATTCTAGCCAATAAACTCGATTGGATAATACTTATTTATTACAAATAACTAATCTAACTTATTTTCTTAGAAAATTCAAATTAATCAACTAATTCTTATATTTAGGATTGGAAGTAGTATTAAGATTAAAACCTGAACGGTTCAAATTTCATATTTTATAAGACATTTTTTTTGAATTATCATGGCTGAAATTTAGTAGCTCAATTTTATTTATTTACTTTTTTAAAAAAAGACATTTTATTCTTAATTTTTTTAAAATACGAAATTTGGACAGTTGGAATTTCAATCCTACGACTAAAATGGAAAGTGAACAGAAATAAAAGGAAAGGGGAGAGGAAGCAGAGAGACCAGTTAAAAAACAAGACCGATGATTACCATCTCTCTCCTCAATTGTCATCACAATTGTTTGGGAATTTGGTTTTCGTTTTGGTGGTTTTACTTTCTGCCCCCTCATTAAATTCCTTAGGCCTGATCAAGCCGTCATCCTAGTTCCTGTTCTGATCAGTAGTTTTCCTCTCAAGACAGTCTTCTCTATAGCTAGCTCCTTGAGTGCCTGTGTTTGTCACTTGAATGTGTGAAAGTGAACATGAAAGCAAAATTTTGCTTCAAAACTGAAAACACCACTACGAAGAAAAACATAAAAAGATTATATTTTTAACATCACATGAAAGTTTGCCTTTTCTGTTACAGCCGAGATGGTGCTAGTTTATTTGAGGACGAAACCACATAATGCATGAACTAAGGGTCATTTGATAAAGCTTCGAGTATCTCATAGGAAGCATACAACTCAATATCAAAGCTACCTTCTTCAGCTCCAGCATCGACCACAAGTTTCCAAGTCTTTGGATTGGGTAGGCAGCTATTTACTGATACTGGTTTTCCCCAACCAAAGTCAATACTGTAAAAATTGGTTCTTGGAGAACTGCTACTTCCCATAAACTTACCAATTGTGTCACTGACCTCACTTTGTGGAGGCAACTTCGGATTTCGAGTCCAATCTTCAAAATCCCCCTTGATCTTTTCCTCTGTGACTGATGATGCTGTCTTGTTCATCTCCTGAGCAAACTTGCCAAGCCCTTTATCTCCCACCTAGTCTCTTACTTTCATCTTCACATAAGCAAATTGCACTGTGGGCCCAAAATAGTTCTCAGGTATTGGTGGATAAGGAATTCTGGATCCAACAGCTACGAACACTCTGTAAGTCACCACTTCTTCTGGATGAAGATGCTGGTTTTTTTATCACAGATCTCCAAACGTGGCTCTTAACGGCTTGTAAGGAAGAGATCTTGTTTCTAATGACACCATCATCTATGTCCAACTTAGCTTTTGCTTTCAGTTCGACAATTTTTTCTCTTCTGAAGTGGAAGATCCTCTGAGATAATGGAAAAGGCTGATGTGGAGAATCAATGGACAACGCCTTAATATCAGTCTCCTTTATTTCTCTGCAAGGGATTTGTATAGGGCATGCTATCTTACCATGAGGAAACCATCGTTGGAATGAAGCGAGCTTCGAAGTCGACGACGCCATGGAGTTTAAACCATTACGAGAGATGTTAGCCCATGTATTCATGAAATCCCAGAAGGGTTTTACATCAGCAAGACAATGGTTCATCGAACGAGCGATGAAGATGCCATCCACGAGATCTGTAACTTGGCCAGCCAATAATGGGATCCAACTTCCTTCGATGTTCTTGGATCTGCACAGCGGGAAGAAGGAGTGGACAAATGGTGGAACATAAATGGATTCAATAATCTCAGCAATTGTAGTGTTCTCAGCAATAGCATGAACAAAACTTGCTCCGGCGTTGTCGCAAGTAACGGAGATCGAGAAAGTATTATCATCGCCGCCGTGAGGGATGATAACAAAACGACCGACAAGGGGCGGGAAGAAGTCGAGGGTGGAAGAAAGAGAGTCCTTAAGGTGTTGGATCGTTTTCTCTGTGTAAACTGAAGAAGAAGAAGAAGAAGAAGATGATGATAAGGTTGGTTTGTGAAAAAGAACGGCTTTCTGGCCATATTCACTTAGCAGAAACTGGAAATCCCAGGAATTGAGCCCGATTTCTTGAGGTAAATCACCATTATTGAATTGGCTTCGTGCTTGGATCGTAGTAGTGGAGACCACTCGGATGGCTGCCATGAAATATCTGCAGTTGCCTTTACTTTCCCGTGTGTTTGTCACGGTACACACGCACACATATATATAACTAATATATTTGGTCCTCTTAAATGATTTGAACAATATCGCTGGTAAAGAAAAAAAAATGATTTGAACAATATCAATCTGTTCTCTTCTCGTTTTTCGTTCCACTTAAGTGAAATCTTATATGGGGACCAAAAACTATATTTTCGCTCATCGGTTTTCTCTTCTAGGGTTTCCTAGTGAGAGCGACATTTCCTCTCCTTAGTGTGAGTGCTCCCTCTCCGATCTGATCGTGAGAGTTGTTTCTTCACCCGGCGGCGACCGTCTCTCTGGTGGCCGCCGGGTGAGAGAGCTTCAAATGCTCTGTGTGTGTGTGAGTTTGTCTTTGAGATTACGAAAGGAGGAGGGTAGAGATGCTTATGAGATCTGGAAAATCAAAGATCACGAGGCGGAAAATTGTTCAACGTTAGGTACATTAACAATTGCAGAGAGGAAGAACGGATATCATAAGAAAGAGGCGATTGTAGTGTACTGGAGAAGTGTGATCGGAGATTGTGAGAGGCACTTTGAGACAAGCAAAATGACCTCAAGCAAGCGATCTCAAAGTGTTTCCCTCCCGTGCAGAGCTCAGGACAGAAAGAGCAGTGTTCTAAGGTACGATGATATCCTATCGCAGAGGCAACTAATTCTGTTGTGGTGCACATCTTTTTTGATTTTCGGCATGATTTCGGTGGTAATGTTGGCATTTGGTGCTAAAAATGACTCTGCTGGAAATACCTGGCATGAACTTATATTGCTATTGAATTCCAGTGAACATATGATTAGTGCTTCTAGAGTTATCAAAATTACTATTTGGCCACTTGAGATCTGCAACTATATTGGTTCCTTTGATGATTTGGATGTGGTCCTGTGCAACATGGATAGTTTGAGAAAGCAAGAGGCTAAGGGATTTTTTGCTCTATGTATGTTTATTATGGATGGTTGCAATTGGTTACTTCTCTCTGTGTTCTATTGGATTATGAAGGTCTGCAAAAATCCTCAGAATGTCTCAACCTCTCTTAGTGGGAGTTTTAATGCTGCAAATATGAAAGCAGCTTTGGTGTATAAGGGTGTGGGCTCTATAGAGCAAGTTGCAAAACAACCACCCCTTCTAGCCACCGTCATGGTGTGTTTGTCACAGAGAATTGATCATTGCAATACAAAGTTGCAAAGCATGGGGCTGAATTTCCCTTTGCCTAATTACCTTTGGATGTTCAATATTTTGAGAAGATGCGAGGATGGGAGAAATTTTGCTTTGTATATGGACATTATAAATGGGTGCAATTGGCTCTGTTTTTCTGTGTTGTACCGTGTTCTGGAGGTTTGCATGGAACTTCAGAATGAGTCATCATCTCTTGTTGAAAGAGAGAGTTTTAACGCTGCAATTGGGAAGGCAGCTTTGGCACATAAGGATGTGGGCTCAATAGAGCAAGTTGGAAGACAACCACTCCTTCTAGCCACTTTCATGGTGGGATTCTCTTCACAGAAATTGGGTCATTGCAGTCTGGAGGTGCAAAGCTTGAAGCAGAATTTCTTATGCTTAATTGTTTTAGTTTTTCCGTATCTTTTTGGTTGTGATCCAGCGGATGGGCCTTGGTTTTTTAGTTGTTTTTGTTGTGGTTGAACTTTTGGAGGTTTTGGTTTAATCAATATTATAAAGTTTTTCTGGCCCAAAAAAAAAAAAACTATAAACATTCAAAAATAATTGAAAAGTAATAAAATTTATAAACAAACAAGGACATAAAAAAATGTGGTTAAGGAATCTCTCCTCTTCCCTTCGGTAATCATTATATTAACATTTGAAAAATTTATATTTATAAATTTTTTAACTTTTTACTGTAAATTTAAAATATTCAGATTAAATTTTAATAATATTTTATGAAATTTATGTATTAGCAACTGTTTGAATCATTGTTTATAGTTTATTTTTTTAATAAAATTGTTTGAGACTTAATTCATCTTATTAAACTAAAATTGTGTGGACATAAGGCACTCCATGCTGCTGGAACAAGTTTTGGTGCTCACCATAGAGATGAATATCATGATGCTCATTGCTATGGTAAAATCTAAACTATCTAGATACAGTTTTAATGATTTAGATTTAAAACTTTTTAATTAGTAATTTTTAAATATTATAGTTAAGAGATTACATCTATTTTGGATCATGTACCTATTAAAAGACAATATTTTTTTAAAAATAAAATATTAAAAATTTAATCCAAATCATTCATATTAAATTTAAATGGTTGAGATACTATGATACTTATTCCACTCAATGCCTTGATGGGACAAATTTTATGATGGTTTCTTTCTTTTTCTTTCTCTTTCTTGTCTTTCTTTACGACTTTGATTTTTTTTCTCTCCTATTTCCCTGATGAAATACGAATTTAATTCTTTAGTTGTGGTTTCTTTCTTTTTCTTTATGCCTCCTTCCCATTCTTTACGGATTTGATTGTGGTTTCTTTCTTCTTGATAAAAACATACATTTTTAACCTTTAGCTTTAGATGAGATTGTAATTTGACTAGTTAATATTTAATTTTAAAAAGTAGCTTTAGATGAGATTGTAAGTTGACTATTTAAAATTTAATTTTACAAAGTATCTCTTGAGTTTTTTAATTTTAATTCCATTCGTTTCAAAAAATAATTTTTTTATAATAATTATTTTTATTTTAAAAATTATATTTAATGGAGTGATTGCATGTTATATAAAGCAATAACAAAAAATAGTAAATATTAAATTTTAGTCATTCATATTAAATTTGAATGACTGATATTTGATTAGCATTATAGTGCTCATAACTGCGATGAGTATTGAAATTGGTTCCATTCAATACTTGATGGGACAAATTTTGTGGTAATTTCTTACTTTTTTTTTTCCCCTTCCCTGTCTTTCATTACAACTTTGATTATTTTCTTTTCTCTTTCTTTGATGAAATATGAATTTAATTCTTTGGTTGTGGTTTCTTTCTTTGTTTTTTTTAAGCCCCCTTCCATTCTTTACGAATTTGATTTTGGTTTCTTTCTTTTTGGCAAAAGCACACATTTTTAACCTTTAGCTTTAGATGAAATTGTAATTTGATTATTTAATATTTAATTTCAAAATGTAGCTCTTGAGTTTTTTAATTTTAATTCCATTAATTTCAAAAAAGAATTTTTTATAATAATTTTGTATTTTGAAAATTATATTTAATGGTGTGATTGGATGTTATATAAAGCGATAATAAAAAATATTAAATGTTAAATCTCGATCATTCATATTAAATGTGAATGGTTGAAATCTGATTAGCATTATGGTGCTCATCACTACAATGAGCCTTGAAACTGGTTACACCCGATACTTTGGGACAAATTTTATGATGGTTTCTTACTTTTTCCTTATTCTTACTTGTCTTTCTTTATGACTTTGATTCTTTCCTCTCTTTTTTTTTTCCTATGATAAAATATGAATTTGATTCTTTAGTTGTGGTTTCTTTCTTTTTCTTTATCCCCCTTCCCGCGAATTTGATTGTAGTTTCTTTCTTTTTAGTAAAAATAAACATTTTTAACCTTTAATTTTAGATGAAATTGTAATTTGATTATTTAATTTTAAAGAGTATCTCTTGAATTTTTTAATTTTAATTCCGTTAGTTTCAAATAATAATTTTTTTATAATAATAGTTATTTCGAAAATTACATTCAATATGTCAATATTTGAGAATATTTCGATAACGTCTAAAATTTTAATATCCGTATTTTTTGTGTGACGAAGTTAGAATTAAAGAATTGAGAAGATGAGTTAAATAAAAGACCCATTAAATTTCATACAAAATTAAAGGTATACTTCTGTCCTTTTTTTAATAAAATTTTCCCCCTTTTCAATACATTTATTTATTTGCAAATCTTTTGTTTAGAGTTGGCATGTGAGATCCCTGACTCCTTTTATGGATGGAATTAATAGCACTTTATTCATAATCCTTGCCGTTATCAAGATATATTTTATTGTTTGTCAGGATCCATGCATTTATTGTGTGAACAATTTTAACCCAACATATTTACAAAAAAGATCTGGTTAGACTCCAAAATAAGATAGGTCACAGGCCCTAAATAGATAGGGGCCTTGCCAACTTTCACCTCTATCCACCATCCCTACCTTGATGCAATTTGCCCTTTAATTAATTGCATACTCTATCAAACAAACGCTCCTTTGCTTTATCACACATTCGTTACCATTCCAATCATTGAAACTCATCCTGGTATTATATACATTCCTTTAAAAAGGTCACTTAAAATTTAAAAAAAAAAAGTGGTTCTCATTAGAGGTGATCAAAATAGGCTTGTCCTGATCCCAAGCTGTCCCAAAATTTTTCAGGACAGGGTCCTCCCGTACCTGTAGTAATATTTTTTTTAATTTCTTTATAATTATTAAATGTTAAAAACAAAAAATATTCAAGACATCTATAAATTTGTAGCTTTTAGCATATATGTAGTTGAATAGTTATTATTTATTTAGATTTTTTATAGTTATTTATGATTTTTGGAATGGTAAAAATGAATTTTGAATTATTCTGTTATCAATTATTATTTATTTAGGCTTTTGTTTAATATGGCTAAGCCCAAAACAGTAAAAAAAAAAACAAAAAAAAACTTTCAAAAGGATTAAGCCCCAAGAACTAAAAATAAAAAGGAAAAAAATAAAATAAAAATCCATTGCAATGGACCCAACCATAAGGCAAAAACATTTTACAAAAAAAAAAAACGTGGGATGGGACACAAGACATATTTCTTGTCCCGTCCTTGTTTATTAGAACGGGATCGGGACAGGCCTGTCCCCATCCCATCCCGTCCCGTCCCGTCCCATTCCACGAACAGTCTTAGTTCTTATTAGTCTCAACTTCTAGAAAAATGAAAACTAACATCTTTTTCTTCTAAATCTTGCAAAATCTCCCTTTTTATGATCCTGAATTTCCTTTCTCTCTCTCGCTGTTTGTTTTTCTAACGATAACTAAAGATTCGTTTAATTTCTTAAAACATCCCAAAAATGTCTTTGTTCTGAATTTATATTTTCAAATAAAATAAAACCCCCATAAACATTTTCCTTTACTCGAAATCAGGAATTTAAATTTCAAAAAGATAATTTTTAGGAGATATTAAAAAAATAAAAACAAAATAATTGAATTCAAAATCCATTTTTATTATTCAGAATTTTTCTAAGAATTTCACATGCTTATTTAGAAAATGTGAAGATAAAGAAAGTAATTTTGATTTTTTGAAATTGTTTTTGGCAAAAGTAAACACGTGCACCAACCCATTATGTGAATTGTAAAACGACTAATTCTGTCATTTTTATATAAAAATTACAAATCAAATGGCATGGATTTTTATCAGTCAAGCTGCAAGAACTTTTGTGCCTCTATAAGGATATGAATTTATACATTTATTACAACTTTATTATGTTAATGATACGAGTTTGTGTACAAGTTGACATATCTATTACGATTACGAGTTTATCTAAACCCAAGTTTATATTATGAAATATGAATGCGAGGTTATGTGAAAAAATTGATATTATTTCAATAGCGTTGATAATATACTTATTTGAAAGTATAAAATCACATGGACAATATAATTCTAAGATTTATAATTTATTTGGTTATATATATAAACATTTGTACTACACAATCTTTTCAAATATAAAGTATTGTTTTAAGAAAATTTCATGTTCCAATTTCCAAGGTCTGAGAACAGTTCCAGGTTGTGATCAAATGAGCCAACTCATATTTAACTTGGAGAAGCATATGTGACTTGTGTGGGACGACGATTTTAAGAAATGAGTGCAATCAAAAATTTACTTCTTTCTGATATGTATATGATAACTTGTTGTGGGGAAAATAATCCGTTGGTAGAATTTGTTACAGTGAATTTATCTGAAAAGGTGGCAAGTCTTCCCCAGTAAATAATTACTCTTATTCCCAGTGTACGTTCACATATTAAGATTTTGAGAGAGAGAGAGGGGGGGATTTTAAAATTTAATTACATATAGATCAACATTTGAAGAGCTGCTTCAGAAGAGTTACATCCAAAGTTGTATGGACGTCACAACACCTCATTGTAACATCATTATAAGAAACAAATAGTGCACCTCTCAATTAGAAAATAATGCGAAGTGATCCTATATATATATATGGTCATCGATAACTATTTTTGATGCTTACAGTTTCATAACTCATAAAAATACTTTCATGAAAATAAATTTGACACTTTAAGAACAGACAAATACTGCACCTAGAATATAATGTTTTACTTGGAACTCATTTTTGGTATGTGAGATAGTCCAAGTAACATGTGGATTTAAAACTTCAAGCCATGTTTCTCCAGCTTCTCCTGAGTAATAAGATTTAGACGATGAATCATGTCAGATGCGAGGAAGTTTTTAAAATCTCCAACTTCTCCATGTCTAAAAAAAGTCTTATTCTCTATTCCAAACCACACTTTTCCCCTCTTATTCACATCTAAATTGCTTAAATTCTCAAAACTACAAAGTTTCAATATATTTTCCATAACATTACCTTTCTCTTCATCCTTAGAAAAACCAAACCCTAGAAACTCAGCAAGCTTCTTCAAAACCCTGATTGGCTCACCCTTCAACTCCTCATATCTCAAAAACATCACTTCCTCTGGCCTCTCCAAACCCTCCTTGTAGTATCCCAAAATATGATCCCAGTATGGCCCAAACCCAATTGTTCCTTTACAAAGCTTGTCAAATGAATCCTCAATCCTAATTTGCCCTCGTGTTTCTGATCTTAAGTTGTTTGCAAAATGCCATGTCGAGACAAAAAGGTCCTTAGGGTTCCTACACAAATAAACAATCTCACACTTTGACCGCTTTACAGACTCAGGCAACAAACCGTAAGGGAGATGGCTTGCAAAGAGCCTTGGTGATGGGAAAGAGCTCAGGTCAGGCTTGGTAGTTTGGAAGTAGAGGACACTCTCTAAGAATGGTACAAGATCATGAGGATTAGTAGTGAGAAGAGGGTGAGGGTGGCTGGTCTGGGTCGGGTCGGAACTTGGGTTTGGATAATGGATCTTTCGGTTGAGAACGGCAAAAGTAAGGGCTTTGAGCCAAGTGGTACCGGATTTGGGTGATGTGACGACAAGGATATCGGAGTCATGAGCTTGAAAATGGTTTTGACAATTCAGAGTTCCTTGCAATTGGCTTGTGGTGATCCAAAAACCATTATATTGATGGATTCGGTTATTGATCAAACCCGATTCAGTTGGCAATGTAGCAATGAGGTCTTTGCATTCTTGGGATAGCTCTTCGTCTTCATTGAGGTACTTGGGAAGAATAGGAAGATTTGAGGGTTTAGACTCTTGTGCTGCCATGGTTATACAGAAATATGAATCAGATAGATGATGAAGTGAAAGTAGAAAGATGGATGATATAGATTTTATAAAAAGTTTGAGCGGAAATTAAGGAAAATAAGAAATGTTAGGATATTAATTATATAGTTCTTTTTACAATTATTTACAATAAACGGCTCTATAAATGAACTTATCAATAGTAGAAAATGCATATATAATTAAATATTGAAAACACCGACATCAGAGAGATATGGATCTTCAATAATGAGAAATTATTTCACCTAAAATTATGCCATATCACATTATATATAAATAAAAAATGAAAAGGATGATAGAAGAAATGTTAGGATATCAAATATGCAGTTCTTTTACAATTATTTATGCTGAATGATTCTGAATGAGTTTCTTGTGCAGGGTGGACATGTTACGTGAGCAGCAAATGGGACTGTCCCTGTGTAAATCAAATATCAACATTATAAAATGTATATATATGTAATTGAATATTGAAGAATTCATCATCAAAAAGATATGAAAATCTTCAGCGAGAAATCATTTTACCTAACATTATGTCACATTATAAATTATAAATAAAAATAAATAGGAAAAAAATGTTAGGACATTGATGATATGATACATGCAAACAATTATTAATGGATGAAGACAATGATTTAGTGGGTGACTGCTCTTGTTGGTACCTACTGGGAAAAATATTGAGATCAGACGATTTAGAGTTTTATAAATCGGTTCCAATAAGATATTTCATGTTTTAATTTAAAACAATCAAAAGCCCACAATTGAATCAACAAACATAATATTAAAGCAACTAACGATAGAAACCATAGTCATCAACTAATCCATAATTAAGCTACAATGACTCAAACTGATCAAGGTTTAGCTACACACCATTTTCAGTTTTTAATATGAGAGCTGCTTAACTAATTTAAGTAAATTAAAAAAATTAGTTAAGTCAGGTATTTTGTAATAAATATGAGTTGATTTTCCTAAAGTATTATTTATAATCATGAGTCATGACTGCCTTTAGATGGAAACCTATTATAATATGTGTAATCAATAGGGATGCTTTAAAGAATAAATTATAAACTTAGAAAATAAAGTAGTGGATTGAAATATTATATTCAAGATTAAATCTAAATCCCAACCAGTCCTTATATTAAGGACCAGAGTTAGTATATTATATTGCACTTTCTCATGAATAAACTATAGAGCAAACCATTCATAAAACAAAACGATATGGAAAGGAAGAGAAAGGAGAGAGGAGACAAGTAGTCGGTGCCGATTTCCATTTGTATTGCTGATCTTCCGCATCCTTTACTTTTTTGGCCCTAACTCAATCACATGCTTATGTTTTCATCCTTAATTTGTCTTCTTCCAATTAATTAACCTCTTATCATCTCTTTTCTGCCTTTAATTTCCCTCGCATTAATTATTTAATTTATTATACTTCATCCCAAATAACTTATCAATTCTAATTATTTTTATTATAATGTAAGGTTTTTTTTTGTAGGCAAACCACATAATATCTATTTGATTCTTTATTATTATCCAGTAAATTATTTTTCATAATTTCTTGTTCTTGAATATTTTTACACAAATACGCGCGTGCGTGCGTGTGTGCATGTATTGGTAATTAATTGGGTGTATCCTTTGTACGTTGCAAAAAGTCTTCAGAGAATTAGATGACAAAATCTATAATTTAGTAATAATTGTGCTTCATTTTATATCCAATATTGATATTGATATTGATATGTCTCATAAAAAAATATAATAGCTATATGGGTATAATTATATAACTATTCCATTTTTTTGAAGAACATGTGGGTTGCTATTCTATTATATGCAAACAAAAGTAGGTTTTGAAATCGCAGATGCATTGAACCTTATAATGAGTGCTAAATAATTAAAATATTTTAAGCACATGAAATTAAACTTAAATAAACAATAATTTTGTCATTTTCTTTTTGAGTTCATCTTAAGAGAGAGCTAAAAAACGGAAAATAAGTTTTTTTCCCAGATCGAAATAACTAAAGTTCCATCCAAATTGAAAAGTATCAATTTTGATCACATTGTAACAATTATGATAATTAAAATGAGAGTTATCTTTATTCCAAACTGAAGTACAGTGTATATATATACACAATACATTGACAGTTATCCACATTACAAGAAAATAACAAATAGGAATGAAGTAATTGTTTATCTTACTTCTATCACTCTTAAGTCATTTCGTAGTGATATTCACATTCAAGACCACACGGTGCAATTACTTTAATTTTTTTTCTTATAAAATTATACAAATGCTTCCTACTGTGTCCATAGATAACTCCCTGAAATACCTCAAATACATACACTTCAACAGGAACTCAATGCATTTTTTCAGAGCTAGGAGAAGACTTCATTTAATATACTATATCCAGTCATAAGACTTTATTTAACTTTTACTTTGGTCCTAAATATAAGACCTCAATCCACTTTGTCTCTTATATTTATTTATTTTTTTAAGATAATCTTTCTAATAATGATAGTTTTGACTAATAAACTTGATTATCAAGGATATTTTAGGAAATGCAACACTTATTTATTACAAATAACTAACTTAACTTACTTTCTTAATCTACTTAAATTAGTCAACTAGCTCTTATATTTAGTACCAGAGGTAGTATAACACAAATCTATATCGTCAGTTCACATTATTGCTTTTCCGCTATGTTTTTTTTTTTCCCTTTCTATCTTCTATTCTTTTCTCATTTTTTTTTTAATCTTCTCTTCCTTATTCCACTTAGACCCTTTCACACTACAATCACATTGGTCAAATCCAATCGCCCGTTACACAACCTAAAGAAACGTATATATAGTATGCTCCTAGCATACTCATAGTATTCACTATCGTTTGATGCAAAAATTTACACTACTTTTTTTTCGTGCAAACCTCCGGTTACTATGCAGCTTCAACTAGCAGTGGAGTAGGATTTATTATTTCTCCTTTTTCTTTCAATCTTGAATTATTTCTCTTGATAATAATCAGTTTATAGCCAACCACTTAAAAAATTGCAATGAAATTTCCAAATAAGTTGTATAATAAACTATGCATCAAGAACTAAGCCACCGTCCTTATTTTTGAAACAACAATCTCAAGCATGCGTTTCAAAATTTAATTTATATCTAATGAAGTAACTTAGTGAAAAGCGATCATATTGCGTTAGCGATTCAAGTTTATATTATCTGCGAATTACTCTAAAATGAAAATCTTAAAATAATGTAGCTGACCTTTTCTATATCAAAATTAGACCTCTTACTACCATTGCATAACAAACGTATATGTGTAGAAGTATCTTTCTAGACATTCGAGGGGTAATTTCGATTTTGAAACCTCAAAGTTAAAATCTCATTGGAAATATTTTTTCATTTCTGTCAACGGTGGTATTGGAAATTAACTTTTAATCATCTCAAAGTGTCGTTCTCGTGCCAGGTGGATTGCTAGCTATATACATGTGAGCTAATGCATGCAATAATGAAGGGCATTTTATATCAGTTTTGTATATTCTAACTGCTACAACATAAAATGGAATCCATACGTGGATGACAGGCTAGCTTCCAAGTTCCAAATGATTTACAGCTCTCATAACTGCTACATCATAAAAAGGAATTCGTACGTGGAATATTTATTATATTGAACATGTTTTCATAGCCCCTCATATTAAATAAGTGAGGTGTCTTGCAGCTAGAGAAATCAGCATTCTCTTTCATTGCTATTATTATCCCAAGAACCCCGACGGTTGTTGCAAGCTTATAAAACCCTCCAATAATCTCCTCTTCTCTCATACAGAGCCAATCTCACTATCTTCACTTCAGCAACCAGTTATTTGATTTCTTCATAGCTATGGCAGCAGCAAAATCAGAAGCCGCTAATCCTGGTTCGCAAGAGCACTTGGTGAAATATGATGAAGAGCTATCACAAGAATGCCAAAAACTCATCACCACCTTACCCATGGAAGTAGATTGGTTTGCAGACCAGCTCTATCAATACCAAGGTTTCTGGTACCAGAAGAGACTAATTCAAGGAATCGTCAACTGCCAGAACCACTTCCAAGCCCAAGACTCTGACATTCTCATTGTCACCCCACTAAAATGTGGAACCACCTGGCTCAAAGCCCTTACTTTCTCTCTCATCAACCGCAAAACGTATGATATGAAACCAAATTTAGACGCAACCCAAGCCATTGCACCACACCCTCTCCTCACTACCAACCCTCATGATTTGGTCCCAAACTTTGAGTATGATCTTTACTTTAGCACCAAGAATCCTGATCTAAGCTCATTCCCATCACCAAGGCTCCTTTCTAGCCATATGCCGTATGCTTTGTTGCCAGAGTCAATAAAACAGTCAAGATGTAAGATGGTGTTCTTGTGTCGAGACCCTAAGGATGTGTTCATCTCATTATGGCACTTCATGAATAGGTTAAGACCAGATGTTCAAGAGTTCAACACCATCGAGTACTTGTTTGAGAAGTTTCGTCGAGGAATGAGCTTGTTTGGGCCATTTTGGGATCACGTGTTAGGGTATTATAAGGAGAGTTTGGAGAGGCCAGAAAAGATAATGGTTTTGAAGTACGAGGAGCTTAAGAGTGAGCCGGTAAGGGTTTTGAAGGACTTGGGAAAATTTTTAGGGTATGGTTTCTCTGATGAGGAAGAACAGAATAGTGATGTTATTGGTGATATATTGAGGCTTAGTAGTTTTGAGAATTTGAGAAATTTGGAAGTGAACAAAAGTGGAAAATTGGTTTCAGGGATAGAAAATAAGACTTATTTTAGACGTGGAGAAGTTGGAGATTGGAAGAATTTTTTGACAGTTGACATGATCAAACAGCTCGATGCTATTACCGAAGAGAAGTTTGGAAAGTACGGCTTGAAGTTTTAGGCCTATGTGCTCCTTGATCACATTGAATCTACTCAAAATGGCCAGGTTGAAGAATTTTGTTTATCATTTATTATTAATTTAGATAATCGATATTTCTAAATATCCAAATTAGATTAGAAATTAATAAATATATAAGTAAAGTACTATATATTTCCTTCCTTCAATGTCTCCTCTGACATTAATGCTTAATATATATTAGAGTGATTGGAAATTATACTATTTAAAAAACTATAAATTCTAAATAGTAAGGCTCAACGTACTAGCATTTGTTGCTAGTTGATGTATATATAACTGCTCTCCACGATAATGGTTTTTTGCAGGGTGCATGCATTCCGAAGCTTGAAGAAGAATAATCATTCAGCACAATCATGATTACGTTCTCTTTGTTAATTTGATGACTGTTGGACATGAGGATGATGCCTCGAGGTTCCAATGCTTGGTTGGATCTAGTGCAATTGTGAATGGATTTAATTGTTGTTCAGTCTATAAAAAAAAAAAAAACTCGTGTTTTGATTAAACTTCTATGCGACTCTATTCATGAGGAATTATCTTCTTCTCCAAGTTCTGAATGATCAAACTTAGCATCTTTTCTTTTTGTTGATAACAAAGGGAGGAAGAAAGGAGAAAAAGTTGAGCATAGATGTGCTTGTCAAGTTATTTGTTTATTTTAATTATAAACTTCCAATGTATTTTATTTCAACTTGCTTTGTAATGTATCATTTAAGCTGAATGAAATGTTTCCTTTGTTCAAGTGTGCTGCACATTCTTATGTTCCCTTTTATGGCTTAAGTTACTATATCTAAATGCATATAGATTAAGGGGAGTAATATATTATGAACTTACTGACTTGATTTAAGATTTTCATTATCAAGAAATAAAAGAATGTTAAATCACTTTGTTTTGATGATAACAAAATGAGTAAAAAGATTGTTTTCAAAGGTTTTATTGCAAATATAATGACAAAAGGTTTTACTGTTTTCATTATTTTGAGTCTTAGAATCTCTTGTAAAATAGCATAAGAGAGCTTTGGTTTTATATGAACCTAGTCTTTCAATTTTTTTTTTACCTTTTTCTTTTTAACTTCCACTAATTAACACTTTTTAAATCTTATTTTTACTTATTGGCTTGAATTTATTTATATTTTTCTAGTTCATTTTCATATTAAAAATCAAAATAAAATTAGAATATATTAATCTAATAATGACTAGCTAACCATAGTTTGACCATTAAAGCTTAAGCTAGTAATCCAATAGATTCTCAAATGAACGATTCAATTTTAGCCGGTTTAATTTTAACATTTAGAATCTGAGCCACTAATTTACAACGTAAATTAGTGGCGATATGACTTTAATAAAAATATGCATGTTTATTAAATGAGTTAATATGCAAATTTGTCCCAAAATTTTTTATTCAAGAATGTTAGACAGTTGAAAGCTTTTTTCGAGTACAAATTGCTCCAAAAATTTATAATCATAGCAATATTGCTCATACCATTAAAAATATTAACCCTTAACGTAAGTTTTTTTAATATAGGAGGAAATATTGTTATGATTTTAAATTATCAAGGCAAATTTGTATTTAAAAAAACTTGTGGATGCCAGCACTTTCTGAGTGAAAACTTTTAGAGCAAATTTGATCTTCAACCCTAATATAATAGTTAAGTTGCCTAAAGTTAGACATGGTAAAGTGGGTTAGCGGTGTAGATATAGGTTAGCCTGTGGCAGTACGAGCTGAAGTAGCTAGCTAGCACCCTACTATTATGGTCAGGAATGCTGGGCACCCAATAGTTATTTTGGGGTGCAAATTGTCACAACTTACTTTTGTACTTCATTTGGAACCATTTGTGATCATTTCTTATAGCCTTTAGTTAGAAAAAGTTGAACTTTAAAATTTCTTAGATTCGAGTTACTATTTATTGTAATCCTTTCAAAAATCAAACTTTGAAAATTCATAACTAATTCTAGAAAATCGAAATAAGATGGTTTTAAGTTCTATGGAAAGCTCTTGACATGCTGTTTAAAGAAAAAAAAAAAATACTCATTGGTATCCAAAACTCATTTATTAATCCCATATTTCGTTCAAAGTGATACTGTTCATTTGGTAAATTTTCAATTTTTTAGAATTTATGCCCAACTTTAGAAGTTATAACTTTTTGTACAAAACTCCAAATTTGATGAATTACCACTTATTTTAAATCTAAAAATAAAACCTATAAGTACACCAAATTTCAACTCCAAACTCAGTCAATTGCTCAAAATCTTGTTTGTCAAACTTGACCCCTAAAAAGTTAACTTCTATCCCTTAAGCCGCCATTCTTGACTTTTCCTTTTCTTCTCAATTCAATTCATCAATCCACTCAACAATTCAATACTAAAACAGAACTTTTGGTCAAATATTCACATACATATTATCTTTAGTCATTAATACAAATATTCATCACAATTCACGATAATCCACATTAATTACAAACATTGTTCAAAGAGGCACATTAATCAATTTTCTCCAAAATGACTTCCTTCCCTTTGTCCTTGCTTGGTCCACCTCTTAAATAGTAAATTTTAAATATAAAAGAGTGAGATTTCATAGAATTCTTAGTGGTAAAGAACCATAATTATCATACAATTCATGCTATGTAAAAATATAACATGTATACATAAAATCAACATCATTATGCAGCATTTCATGTGCATACCATTTGCCATGAAAAGAGAGCAATAAATCAAGCCATTCCTTATACATATTGCCAAGGCACATTCAACATATAATCCCATACATAGTCACATAGTTTACTATAACACATACACATTTAAACAAGCAAGAAAGCAATCAAATTATGAGTTCAATGCTACCTCTTGGTTGACAATTCAATTCGGCCTCTTTAGGGAAATGATGTTTCCTCTTTGATTTCTTGCAATGTGCCTATTATTCCAAGCACAAATACATTCGAAATTACAATAATTCAAGTATAAACATAATTGCTTGATATTAAGCTCAATTAAACCCCTTTTTCTTTGATTTTTGACCTAATTAATCCCTCTTTGTTTCAATCAATCTCTTGGGCCAATCCTATACAATTTTTCATGTAGAATTCAAATATCAAATCAGATTTTACAAAATCACATTCCTTCCTTTCCATTTCAGTTTGGCCGAATAGGTAGTATTACTTTTCAAAGTTTCCATTTTTTATTCCAATAATTTTAAACACTTTCCCTTGGTATATCCCTACACAAAAATATTTTTTAAACTCATTGGAATTGTCAAATCACATTAAAACAAACTCCTCCCCCAAGATAACATAGTGACCGAATAGGGGTAACAAAACCCTAACTTTGATTTCTTCCAAAATTCAATCCAAACATCAATTAAACATGTAATTTCAAACTCATAATCATGGTTTCTATTCTTCCCTAAATCATTCTTGGCCTAACCAAAAATTGGCAGCATCATACCATAAGATTTGTCATGAAATATCCAACAAAATAACCCTTAAATCCAACCAAAATCAAATTTAGACATACCTTAATGGATCTGAACTTGAAGCTTGACAATTTTTCTTGGATTTGGAGGGTATCTGGAGCTTTTTGGAGGTTTTTTAATTTTAGCAGAATTTTCCCTTAATTTTCCCAATTTGACCAAATTATGTGTAAAATGAGGGGGTATTTATAGACAAAAAATATGACCCTCCTCCCCTCCAATGTGGTACCAGATTTGGCTACCTAAGAGGCTATGTGGCTGCAATCAAGTGCTCCAAATTTTATGATCTTGCCAAGTGTCTTTTTTCATGATTTTTTTATGGATATTTTGACCTAAATTGGGCTTAAGACCACTTAATCATTGGGCCAATATTTGCACGAATTTTATGGGCTTTCTTGGCTCAATATGAAGCCCAAATCTGATTTAAAAAGGAAGGAAAAGTGGGGCCCACATATAAATATCAATTTTGACTACAACTCACTATTTTGACTATTATTTTCAAAAATAGTTCTGGGCCTCCAAAAATTTATTTCTCTCTATCAAAAACTCCTATCTAGTATAAGAAAGCCCTATGAAAAATTTTAGAATTTATTTCAAATCCTAGCTATTTATTTTGAATTTTCTCTGAAATAAGGCTTTATTGATAAGATTTTGGAAATAAATTTTCTAAAATTAATTCCTGTACTTTCAGGGCCTAAAATCAATTTTATAAATTCAAAAAAATCCTTAAATAATTTTTTCATATTTTTTCAAGAATCATTGAGGCCTCTACATGTTTAAAATAATTATTTTTACCCAATTTTTACTTTTTTTTTAAAAAACCTTTATTTTTAGGAAATTCCGTAATAAGCTGTTTTCACTCCATTTTCATCTTCAGGTCCTCCTTTGAGGTTTCAAAACCTCTAATTTACCAATTTTTAATTTTGAGGAAATTTTTTAGAATTTTTCTCAAATTTTTCCATCTCGCCTTTCCGACATCGATAATTTTGAAAATATCGGTCCGGATCTTTTCTAGATCTTGTACCATGTTTGGCTTCCTCAGCCAGTCTTCTTTTCCTATTGGCCCTTAATCTAATTTTTTTTATCTCTCTCATCAATGTTAAATTTTGCGGGATGTGACACAAATTTATCTAGAAGTTTATGATTATAGTAATGTTGCCGTTATTGTTAAAAATAATAACGGATGTTGTAAGTTTTTAATGGCAGAGGGTAATATTATTATGATTTTAAGCTTTCAAGGCAAATTTGTACATAAAAAGATTTCTGGGTGCTAGCGTTTCTGAATAAAAATTTTCAGAGCAAATTTGCACCTTAACTCTAATAAAAATAGTCAAGTCACCTAAAGTGCTCACTTCTGTGAATTTGGATTGCAAAAGTGGTGGCAGTAAGATCAATGTTAATTGGTTTATATAATGTTTGGGGAGGTAATTGCATGTTTAGTTTGGCCAAAAACACAGTAGTAATTGATTTCTTTATAACTGTGGCAGCAAAAAAATCAGAAGCAGAATTGGATTGGTTTGCAATTAGCTCTACCGATACCAAGATTTGTAGTATTAGAAGAGGCTAATTAAGGCAATCCACTAACTCATCTTACTTCTATACATTAAAACCTTAAGAGACATTTTCGAAACTGCCTTTGTCCAATGCAAACCCTAAAGAATAAAAAACATTAGTGACATAGTACGTTATAGCACACAATAAGAGTCTTTCCAGAGAGAAGAAACCCATATATCAAGATCTTAAGAAGAGCTAGACATTGTAACGTAGAAAGTTTTACTTGAACCTTGATTTTGGTAGACAAGACCGATCATATGGTGAATGGCCCTCGTAACATATGGGGATCTAAAATTTGAAGCCATGTTTGGCCAGCTTCTCTTGAGTAATAAGATTCAGACGCTCAGTCATGTCAGATGTAAGGAAATTCTTCCAAACTCCAGCTTCTCCGCGTCTAAAGTAAGCCTTATTCTCTATTCCAATCTACACTTTTCCACTCTTGTTCACTTCCTAATTGCTCAAATTCTCAAAACTACAACGCTTCAATATATTTTCCACAATGCTGTTGTTCTCTTCATCCTCAAAGAAACCAGACCCTATAAACTCTGCAAGGTCCTTCAAAACCTTAAGTGGCTCACTCCTCAACTCCTCAAACCTCAAAAACATCGTCTTCTCTGGCCTCTCTAAGCTCTCCTTCTAATATCCCAAAATGGCCCAAAAACTGTCTTCCCGTGACCAAACTTATCGAATGAATCCTCAATCCTAATCAACCCTCGACTTTCTGGTCTTAAATTGTTCGCAAAGTGCCACATAGACACAAACTGGTCCTTCGGGTTTCTACATAAGTATGCAATCTTACACCTTGACTGCTTCACAGACTCTGGTAATAAATCATACGGCAGATGGGTTGCAAAGAGCCTTGGTGATGGGAAAGTGCTCAAGTCAGGCATGGTCGTTTGAAAGTACAGGACTGTCCCTAAGGAGGGTACGAGATCATGAGAATTAGTAGTGAGGAGAGGGTGAAGGTGGCATGTTTGGTTCGGGTCTAATTGTGGGTTCGGGTCATGGGTCTTACGGTTGAGAATGGTGAAAACAAGGGCTTTGAGCCATGTGGTACCAGCTTTTGGTGAAGTTACAAGGATGATGTCGGAGTCATGAACTTGAAAGCACGTTTGACAATTTAGTGTTCGTTGCAATTGGTTTGTGGTGAGCCAGAAACCATTGTATTGATGGATCCCTTTGTGAATCCAACCCGATTCAGTGGGCAACATAGCAATAAGGTCCTTGCATTCTTGGGATCATTCTTCGTTGTCATTCCATGCATTCTTGGGATCGTTATTCGTCGTCATTGAGGTACTTGGGAACTCTTGTGCTTGTGCTTGCATGATTATACAGAGATATGAACTACATAGATGATGAAATGCAGGTAAAAAGGTGGTTGATATAGATTTTATAAGAAGTTTGAGCGGAAATTAAGGAAGAAAAGAAATGTTATGATATTAATTATATAGTTCTTTTTACAATTATTTACAGCAAACGGCACTATAAATGAACTAATCAATAGGATAAAATGCATAGGTAATTAATTATTGAAAACATCAACGTCAGAAAGATATGAATCTTCATTAATGAGACATTATTTCACCTAACATTATGTCACATTATTTATAAATAAAAAATGAAAAGGAAGATAGATATTAAATATAGAGTTCTTTTACAATTATTTATACTAAATGATTTCCTGTGCAGGGGGGTACATGTTCGCCAGCAGCAAATGGGACTGTCCCTTTGTAAATCTAATATGAACATTCTAAAAAAATATTGAAGAATTCATCATCAAAAAGATATGAGAATCTTCGAGGTGAAATCATTTTACCTAATATTATGTCACATTATCAATTATAAATAAAAAAATAAATAGGAAAATAAAAATGTTAGGACATTGATGATATAATACATGCAAACAATTATTAATGGATATGAAGACAATGATTTATTAGTGGGTGACTGGTTCTCGTCGGTACCCGTTGGGAAGAATCGTAAGATCAGACAATTTAGAGTTTCGTAAATATTTTCCAATCAGATTTCTCATGTTTTGATTTAGAACAATCAAGCACACAATTGAATCAACAAACATAATATTAAAGCAACTAACAATAGAAACCATATTCACCAAGTAATCCATAGTCAAGCTACAATGACCCAAATTGATCAAGGTTTAGCTGCATACTACCTCATTCCAGTCTTTAACATAAGAGCTATTTAACTAATTTAAATATATTAAGAAAATTAACTAAGTCAATGTATTTTGTAACAAATATGAGTTGATTTTTTTAAAGTATCATTTATAATAATGATTTTAGATGAAAATCTATTAATACATATAATCAATAAGGATACTTTAGAGAATAAATTATAAATTAAGAAAACAAAGTAGAGAATTGAAATATTATATTAGACCAAATTTAAATCCCAATCAACTTATATTATGGACTGAAAGTAGTATGTTATATTGCACATTCTGAAGAAAAAATATAGAGCAAACCATTCATAAAATAAAACGATATGGAAAGGAAGAGAAAGGAGAGAGGAAACAAGTAATCAGTGCAGATTTCCGTTTGTACTGATGATCTTCCGTATCCCCACCAAGCCCGATTCTAACACGACTTGATTAAATTCTCTTGCTCAAAATGCTTAGTTAACTCCACATACAAGAAATGAACAAATAGAAATGAGATACTTGTTTACCTTTCTTCTATTACTGTTAACTCATTTTCTTAATGAGAGAGATTCACATTCAAGACCATACGGTACAATTACTTTAATATTTTCTTATAAGATTATACAAATGATTCCTACCATATGCACAGATAACTCCCTGAAATCAGATGTATACAGTTCAATAGAAAACTCAATGCAATTTTTCATAGCGATTTCATTTGATATAGCACACAAATGTGCATCATCAGTTCACATTATTGCTTTTCCTCTATATTTTTTCTTTCTATCTTCTTTTCTTTTCTCCTTTTTTCTTTAATATTCCTTTCATTATTTCAATTAGACCTTTTTACACAACAATCACATTGGTCAAGTCCAATCTGTAACAACTATACCTTATACATTAGTAGGGTTATTCTATTTAACCTCAAACCACTAAAAGCCATGTTTCACCCTGGGAAAGACAATTTTTTTTTACTATTCCGAAACACAAGGTTTGATCCTGTTCAAGGAATGAGATCTTTTGAAAAATTTCAAACTTTTCAAAAAATCACTTTCAAAACAACTTGTCTAGTGGTGCAAGTACTCGATTTAACTTTTTTCACAAAAACGATAAAAACAGTTTAAGACCCAGGGTTTGCATTCAACCATCGAATCCATTCTTTTTCCATCCAGACATTTGAATTCTGTATTAAGTTAATTATAGCCATTAAGGTTTAACATTCAATACCCTGACCATTGGCTCATACATCGGGGCACATATACAAATACACACAATCATAGGCATAATAATAACTATATATCAAAATATAGGCCATTTCCTTCAATGGCAGTTACTATAGTTTATGTGCTCTTAGCCACTTTCTTATGGAGGAATATTTACATATCAAAATATATATATGCACTAGGACTGTGCAAAAACCCGGTGGTCTGGTATGGTCCGGTTTAACCTGAGCAAACTCGGTCCAGTCCGGTTTAGAAAAAATTGGCTCGAAACAAGACTAGACCAGACTGGTCTCATCGGGCTAGACTGGACTAGGGACTAGCCCCTCAGACCAGTTAGTCTAGTCCAATCTAACCGGGTTTTTTTAATTATTATTTATATAGTTTTAATTTGATTTAATTTTTCCATATAAGTTTTTTGTCTATTCAAATAATCAAAATTTATCTATTAACTTCCTAAGTAATGAGCACGCGTATATATTTTCTACAATATAAGATCTATATTAATGAGGATTAATTAATAAAACATGACATTATTGGGAAATTGAAAAGAAATGATCAAATTTGATGAACTTTGGATTAAAGTATGTGCAAAATTTTATATAATAAGTTACTATCTTGCCTGCAATTGAAGGAAAAAAATTAAAAATAAATAAATTTAGGTCCGGTCCAGTCCAGGCAGTCTAGAGGACTAAGTCCAGTACAACCCGACCTCAGGTTGGTACTAGATTGGACCAGATCTCGGGCTGTCTTTTTTAGTTCAAGGTCTTTACTGGACCAGACTTCGGGTTGATAATAAACCCAGTCCAGTCTGGTCCATGCACACCCCTAATATGCACATTGTATTTTCACTCCAAAATAAGAAGCATTTTAAGGAAAATACATACAAAAGATTTTCAGCTCCCTTCACCTTCAAGCTCCACCAATCACTACTCCCTTGCCTCTTGAAGTACATACTCTTGCTGTATGACAGGGAAGAAGGGGTGAGATTCTAGAAAATCCTAGTAGCAACAAAGTTCCTTAATGTAATCATATAAGATCACAAACAACCTGCTACACAAGCCAAAGAGAACAACACCTTGTAACCTATATTAGGGTCTGTTTGGGTGACCCTCAAAACCATGGTTTGGAAGGCAAAACCATGGTTTTGGTGAGATGTCACCCAAACAGCATCAATTCTGGGCCAATAATCTGAAACCATGGTTTGGGCCAAAACCATGGTTTTGGAATCTAAAACCATGGTTTCAGAAGAAGTGAATTCATTCTGCTTCTGGCTCAAATTGGAGAGATGATTGTGTCTGTCAGAGTAGATCTCAACAATAATATGACTTTAACATTTCTCAATTATTTTTTTATAAACATATTCAACCTTATATCTTATAAACATATATACACATATTAATTATTTATTAATTACATTATCTTATGTATTATTAATTATGTTGGTAAAAATATATTATTAACAATTTTATTCCTTCAAATTAAAATATATCATAAAATTTATGTTTTATATAATTATCATATTAACTTATTTTTTTTAGTAATTTATATATATAAAAAGTACTTTTGATAACAACTATCCAAACACTCTTACTTCTCAGGATCACTTTTCTACAAAATTTATTCTTCACAGAATCTATTCTTCCCAGAATCTATTCTCCAAAAGCTATTCTCCAAACCATGGTTTGGTTTTATCCAAACACACCCTTCTTCTAATCAATGATGCACAAACATCATACACATACATAGTCAGTAACTAACCATCATGACCACATTCCAAAATAAATGAAAACCAGCGCACATTGTGATGATAAATCATATCAGACAAAGGCAATTTACATGTTGTCATGCATAATTAGCATAATGGCACATCCAAGCATGTGGCAAGTTGGCAATCAATGCACAATCACATTAAAGGAAAAGAGTTACTATCTTTTGCTCTTTCCTCCAAGCTACCTTCCCCTTGCTTCTACCTTGGATCCTTTTTTAATGGATTCAAACAAATGTCAAATCCTATAAATTATATAGGCAAGGATAGATTAATGTATATATGTTTAGGTATATATCTGTATGTAAGTATATAAATGCTTAACTATTGTATTGAAATTGTTATAAATAAAGAAAAAATAGAGAAGAATAATAGAGAAGAAAAGAGGATCAACAAGATAGAGTATTACACATTTCATTTAAGAGTTCTCAATACATTATACATGGCTTCTATTTATATGCACAACTTTACATTTTTGATAGAATCTATGTATTACATAATAATATGAGATATAGAGATAATGGGAGATATTGGAGATTATAGGAGATATAGGAGATAATGAGAGATATATGGACATCCACAAAGATATTATTATATTCATAACACTCCCCCTTGGATGTCCAGTATATATGAATGTGCCTCATTAAAAAACGTCGACTAAAAAAAACCCTGTGGCAGAAAAACCTAGTGAAAGAAAAAGAGTACATCATTCATTGATACACTATGTAATGCTGCCTCATTAAAAACCTTCCTATAAAATCCAGTGGGACAAAACCATAAACAAGAAAAAAAGAGTATAGCATGTATCAACTTCCCATCTTGGCAACATAAGTTAACATCTTAAGCCTGCAAAGTCTAATATAACGAACAAGTATTCTAAGGGTGTGTTTGGATGAAACCAAATCGTGGTTTGGAAAAGTGATTTTGGAGAATAGATTATGGGAAGAATAGATTTTGGAAAGAATAGATTTTATGAAAAAGTGATTTTGAGAAGTAAGAGTGTTTGGATAGTTGTTATCAGAAGCACTTTTGATATATACAAATTACTAAAAAAAGACATAA